CCGATCTCACTCCTAGCGACATTAGGAAAGATACTCGAATCAGTGGTTGCTGAAAGAATCTCACACGCAGTGGAAACGCACGGATTGCTCTCGACCAGCCACTTCGGCGCCCGAAAGCAGCGATCCGCAGAGCAAGCGCTCGTGCTTCTTTAAGAGCAGATCTACGCAGCATGGCGTGGCCGACGAGTGTTGAGCTTAATCAGCTTCGATGTGAAAGGTGCCTACAACGGAGTGTGCAAAGAACGACTGCTCCAGAGGATGAAAGCGCGAGGCATACCAGATGACTTGCTCCGGTGGGTCGAGGCATTCTGCTCAGAGCGAACGGCCACCATCCAGATCAACGGGCAGCTTTCTGAGGCCCGAAGATTGCCCCAAGCTGGCCTGCCTCAGGGCTCACCCCTATCTCCGATCCTATTCCTTTTCTTCAACGCAGACCTCGTGCAAAGACAGATTGACAGCCAAGGAGGAGCGGTCGCTTTTGTGGATGATTTTACCGCATGGGTGACCGGGCCAACCGCGCAGAGTAACCGGCAAGGAATCGAGGCAATTATCAATGAGGCGCTCGATTGGGAAAGGAGAAGTGGAGCAACTTTTGAAGCGGAAAAGACAGCTATCATATACTTTGCTCCCAAGATGCGTAAATCGGACCATGAGTCGTTTATCATCAAGGAACAGACGGTTGTGCCCAATGAGCACGTCAAGATCCTGGGTGTCTTGATGGACACGAGACTGAAATACAAGGAACATATGGCGAGGGCCGCGTCCAAGGGCCTGGAGGCAGCGATGGAGCTTCGGCGACTTCGCGGCCTTTCCCCAGCAACGGCGCGGTAGTTATTTACATCGACGGTGGCGCCAGTTGTGGACTACGCCTCCAATGTCTGGATGCACGCGTGTAAGGACAAGGCCATGGGGCCGATCAATCGAGTCCAAAGAGTTAGAGCACAAGCCATTGTGGGGACATTCCTCACCGTCGCGACCAGCGTATCGGAGGCGGAGGCCCATATTGCCACCGCGCGGAACCTTTTCTGGAGACGGGCCGTGAAAATGTGGACGGACATGCGTACCCTTCCTGAAACAAACCCGCTCCGCAGAGGTACAGACCGGATCAGAAAGTTCAGACGATATCATCGCTCGCCGCTGTACCAAGTGGCAGATGCGCTTAGGCACATCGACATGGAGACACTGGAAACAATTGACCCGTTCACGTTGGCCCCATGGGACGAACGCGTACAGGCCAATATTGACGGACAACATGAACCCCAGACTGAAGCGGGCGGGTTGATGCAGATCGCGGTCAGCAGCTCGGCACGGAACGAGCTGGTGGGATTTGGAGTCGCAATCGAGAAACAGCCACCTCGAAATCGAAAATTGAAGCTCAAAACGTTTTCCATCACATTGGGCGCGAGGGCAGAGCAGAACCCGTTCTCTGCGGAGCTGGCAGCCATGGCACATGTGTTGAAAATGATAGTGGGAATCAAGGACTACAGTACTACGTTGCTCACAAGCAACAAGGCGGCGGTGCTCACGCTAAGGAACACCCGACGACAGTCTGGCCAGGAGTTTGTTTGTCAGATGTACAAGTTGATGAGAAGGTTGCGGAGGAATGGAAACCGCATCAAATTCCACTGGATCCCTACTACCGAAGACAACAAGCTGCTAGGTCTGGCTAAAGAACAGGCCAGAACTGCAACACAAGAAGATGCTCTCCCACAAGAACACGTCTCGAGGATGAAGTCGACAACATTGAACATCGCACGATCCCAAGCAGTCCCCAGCAGTGAGCTACCAGGGAACATAGGAAGACACGCAAAACGAGTAGATGCCGCACTGCCAGGCAAACACACCCGGCAGTTGTATGATCGCCTAACGTGGAAAGAAGCGAGCGTACTGGCCCAACTCCGAACCGGCATGGCTAGGCTCAATGGGTATCTCAATCAAATTAATGTAGCAGAGACGGATCAATGCGATTGCGGACAAGCAAGAGAGACCGTGGAGCACTTCCTCTTCCGATGTCGGAAGTGGATGGCGCACCGGACGGAAATGTTACAATGCACGCAGACTCACCGAGGAAACATATCTTTCTTCCTGGGCGGAAAACAGCCTTCTGATGATCAGAAGTGGACGCCAAACCTAGAGGCAGTACAGGCCTCCATACGTTTTGCCATTGCGACGGGCCGACTCGAGGCCACTTGAACATATCGACCAACATAGCCCCCAGCCCTTCTTCCGACCCTACTTACCCACCACCTCGTGCTACACATGGTAGACGCGCTTCAACTGCCGAAGATAGGATGTTGAACACTTGGAGAAGCACCTTCAAGCCAGCCTACTAACCCACTTACTAACCCACGATAAACTCGCTGCGATACTGCTTTCTGGAAATGTTATATGTTATAAGGTTTTATGTATGGGCTTTCAGGAGACACAGCATACACAGATGGACATGTACAGTAGGTCAGTGATAGTTGCCCTTTCGGCTCAGCCGCCGGGCGTTAATGAATTGTTTGTACGCTGAGCATCGCTCCAGCGAACGAGGATCCGAGAACAGACCCATGGTGAATGGCACGACTTACGTAATACAATGATCATAAACAAGCTTAAACATTTGTTCCGCGCAAATTGTCTCGTCCAGATGTTTGTTGAAGATCGCACAGTCAGCTGCCAGGTAGAGACCCATGCCTTTATGAGACAAAGCGAAAAAGAGAACATGAGCCTAACGAGGAATGAGACGAGCATTAATGATGGGAAGGAAGCTTCATGTAAGTTTCAGAATAGGCAAATCTCAACAATCATTTTCAAAACAATGAATACGGTTTGAAGAGAAACTTCAGGAGTCTGTATGCAGTCTGCATCGAATGAACAGTCCGTCAGCCCCAGAAGTTGAAACTTGAATAGATTTGGAATACCTGACATTGATTCGAAAAAGCTGGAGATATCAAATTAGATCCCAATTTTCTCTTGAGCGTCTCCACTGGCAAACACTAATGTACAACTGAAAAGCCGGAACCACCAATAGACGGCCTTTTCAATTGATGTGTAGAGAACACATACGTCCGTCGTAGGTGTGGGTATTTGATGGGTCCGCATTGCAAAAGGGCCCAGAATCAATAGCTCATTGAAATATAGAAGGTTCAGTAATGGCGTATCTGAATAAACGGTATCCAATCTTTTTGAGGAAAGAACCATCAGAAGGCTTTTAAGCCCAATTTCAGGGCTGAAAATTCTTACCACGCTCAATATTTTCCTCAATCTGCGTTTCAGAATTGGTGCTGAGCTGCCGCTCCGTGCACCAATTTCCGACACTCTAGGACACTGTACAACTAGGCAACCACGGAGAATTGGCGGGACCAGTCACCAAATTATCGAGCCCGTGACAATGTGACGCAGGGTTCTTCTATATTGTCGAGAGAGAGGCCAATGAGTTGAAATGAATCAAGCAACAGCATCGCGGGTACTTGCGAAATCGAGATCTCTTCTGGACAGACCAGAGCCGATTGGACAAGGAGTTACCTGCCGAGTATCCATGAATGTGCGTATGTGATCATCAATCTGGTACGCGCTTAGGCTAAGAGTTTTCCACGTGTTTTTTTAGACCACTGGATCGAGCCTGGGACGTAGTGGCTTCGGGGCCCTCCTTCTGGATCCCAGAATCCAACTCCTGGACCGCTGATCATCGAACCTTCTACCCCCACCACGAGGAACATCATCTTCGTCGCCATGACGACGGTCAGGCGCCTTTGTACCGCCCTGGTGTGCGTTTGGCCGCAACTGCGAGATATGCTCCTATTCATGACCTACGAAGTCTAGCTCCGATTTTAATGTGAGACTTTTAGACCAGATCAGTTCTATTACTAGTATGCTTCTTGACTTCATATAGATGTGTGGTATATACGATGGCTTTCAACACGACACGAAGAGTCCATCACGAAGACTCCATCACGAAGATTTCAAGCTAGCATTTATTGTAACACCGTATGCAAGAAGCGCTCCACTTCCAGCACAAATAACCCCTCAACCCATTGTAATACTTCAATGGCAGATTTCGGTAGTGGTGTGAGTTGAGCCTTCGGTTCCCTGTAGCGACGTCTGCGCAGAAAGCCTTTGGATTCTAAAGGCTGGTCCGGAAGCGGGCCTGATCTCGCAAGCCGGTCTGGTTTCGGAAGTCTAGCCTCCAAGAAGTCAAGGAGACGGCAAAGCTTCGCAGGGGGCGAAGATTCACCGGTAGTCATCACGAATTCAATGGCGACGCGATTCATCTGCAGGAGAGATTCATGATCCTGAGTCAGACGATGAACAGCAGCGTGACGAATCGCGGACACTGGCCCTTTCATTCTCAGTAGAGCACAACTGGCTTGGCGGAAGGCACTGTGCTGTACTCGGGTCTTGTTCCTTGCCAAAAATATGAAGAATCTGTGTAGCTCTAATTCTTCTGGGCACGTCCACCCGTTCATGAGAGACTTCTCCGGCAGCCATTTGTGAGCAAACCGAAATGCATGGAACTCAAGGTGTTGCTGTATGGCTTGGAGGATTCGATTTTGGGCGCGAAAGGGAATTTTTCCTGATCGTATTCCCAAGAGTGAAGAGAGACTCTCCAGAACTGTGATTCAAGTTCGTTAGTTAATATTCGTATTAGCAAAAGATGTAGATTTGGAACTCACTCGAGATGGCATCGATCTTTCTTGGGCGAGACATTGTGATTGGTTTCGATGTACTGGAGAAGATGGAGAGAAGTTAGCAAGCACAATGAATTTATTGTGGCTGCTCACCGTTGCTTCGCAGGACGTGATGATGTGGCTGCGTTGTATAAAGGGCTGTGAATATGATCTCGATTTGACACAGATGATGCAAGTACGCTGCGTTTACTTCCTGGCATATCTTGTCTCATACGTTGTTGGTGATTGTGTTGACTTTGCAGAGGAGAAAAATAAACACTGATCTGCAAATGATGGGCGCGGCAAAGACCCCTGGACCACTGAAGCCTGACCGTTCAGGGTTTGAAAATGAGTCCGTCGTGCCCTGACTATCAAGGTGTGATGGTAGCGTTGCAATATCAGGAGATCGACCAGAGATCGACACGGACCCAGCTGACGTGCCATGGTAGCAACGAAGGCTCTTCGGAGTTGGACTCGGCATGGGCGGCATTGTTGGGATCAACGAGATTCTGCCCTCCCGCATCGAGCCAGGATCAAGCCAGGACATTGACATACTTCTCGGACGAGTATGACGACTCTGCCACAGTCCAGAAAGACTGCTTCTCGACTGCTACAAGACCACCCTTTTTTGCTAGCTCGTAAAGATAAAGTGCAACTGCTGAAAGAGAGCGCTCGTTCAATCAGAGAATCTTTGGATGCTGCCCAAGTTGAGTTCAAAAGCACCATGGAGCAAAGGCAGGGTTCCGTGGTACTCCTTTGAATGGTTCTGCAGTACTCATGGTGGGGCCGCGCGGTTCTGGAACGGGATCGACGCTGCCCGAAAATCTCGGCTTTGGCTCTATTTGCCACCCCTTTCTTTGACGATCTATGGCAATGGGATTGGGACATATTTGCAGGAAGATGAGAGCCATAATATTCCCGAGTGTTCCTACTTCAAGTCTTCCACTGGGAAAGTTCGACAGACCCATCTCTGTTGCTGTAAATGGCCTAATCGTGTGACGAGTGTGGTTCGAGTCTAGCAGAGCTTGGGTCCCACATCCAGAGTGGAGAATTGGAGGGCCCAGAACGGAATGATCGCTCGGGAACACAAAGTCTAAATGACACGTGGTATTTATCCCATGGGTCAGGGTCCACGACGAACGACTCATTTTTCACACCGGAAACTTTTTGGTATCCTGTTTCTTGACCCAAGTGTCGCGTTTTTTATGAAAGGCCGCGTAGTAGAGGCAGAGCACAGTGCTGGGATATCTATGAGAAGTTTATTAGGGAAGTAAATTTCACGTTCCCAGTCTGATACCGGTTGGAATTACTACGACGCGCTTATCCGGTCTTTATTGCTCTTCTATGACCACTCCCTTGATGGCTGATACCACAGCTCACAGTCGGTCGCAGTTCTCTTCCAAATAATCACGAAGGTCTTGACCCGGCTACCTTCGTAGTTTAAGTAGCATTCGCAATGCTCGATACCTGCAGTGCACCTCACTGAGAAGGATGCACTAAACTTCAGATATCTTCTCTGATCATGAAACTGATCAAGTCATTGCCACAGAAATACTTGACACTCGGTTCGCAACGCATCGCAGCGAACGGGTTGTTCCGCAAACCTCACTCTTCCGGAGTGACGCCCGCTCTCCTTCAACCCTGGTCTAAGATCCAGTCGTTTCGAGCATTTTACTTGATACTACTCACTGGGTTCTCAGAAGGACGTAAACAAGGACAACATGCGCTGCAGAGGATTTTCATCGTTGCGCGACAATAATTTCAATGGTACCTATGATTGCACGTGCATAGCCGTTGCGTTTAGCCCTCTTTGAATGCTCTATTGTAATACATATGTCGCAACTTGCAATGCAACTGCGTTGCATTGCCACAGCGATCATATCCATGGTTTCCATTTCATCTTTTCTGGTACCCAGTCGCCAGTGTAACCCACCGCAGGAAATGGTCAGTCTAGATGATCGATTTGATGGAACCAATGGCTGGTCCCCCTGGCATCATGAGACCAACCACGGATCCATTGAAGGTTCGTCTTCTGGCCAAAGAGTTCCAAGTAACTTTCCAATGCCCTCGCAAATCAGTGGCCGTTTCTCTGAATTTGCGCAGGGGGTTTCTGTGAAGAGACGTAGCCGACCCGACATAAAAGGCGCGAGATTTCCGGCCCAAAAAAGATCAGGACTTTCCTCCTCACACTCCCGTGTGTCATTGTTTCCATCTCTTGTCTGCAGGCTTTGTCTGCAGGCTTGAGGGTCTCCGTGGCCACGGGTCCGCAGTACAAGCTCTGCGTCACCAAACATGCTTCGCAGGATGGGCTCTGCGATATCAACTGTTCCTCGCAGGATGGGCTCAGCGATACCAACTGTTCCCCGCAGGATGGGCTCTGCGAAATCAACTGTTCCTCGCAGGATGGGCTCTGCGTTATCAACTGTTCCTCGGAGGATGGGCTCTGCGATACCAACTGTTCCTCGCAGGATGGGCTCTGCGTTATCAACTGTTCCTCGCAGGATGGGCTCTGCGAAACCAACTGTTCCTCGCAGGAGACCGCTGCGTTACCAAGTTCTCTGCAGGAGACCGCTGCGATACCAAGGTGCTCCGCAGTACTGACTCTGCGTCATCAAATCGTGCTCCGCAGGGGAACGCTGCGAAACCAAGGAACTCTAGCCAAGTGCAGGCACCTCTACGTGGTGCTAGGGACCAGTATTCAATGCTCGCTCTGCAATTGAAGAAGCCAAGACCTGCGCCAACGTCGATGTTTCACCTTTGTAGGCTCGGGCCACGGGCGAAGAGTCTGGCATGGCCATGAGAGCCCATTCCGATGCCTGTTTCAACTTCAAGATAGCATTGAATAGAGAATGAATAAACCCAGCATATTGCTGTTCCTGATTCCTTCCTGCATAGTAGTATTACGTCCAGAACCTGATTTCCCAAGATGTATATACACACGTAGAGGATGTATACACACACGTACAGGCCGGTCAGCTCGGTCAAAGACCATCAGACTTGGGCAAGGAAGCATTATCCACGTCTATCGCACAGGTCAGGAAAACTGAGATGACTGTTGAGGTTGGCGTTGGTGGTGAAGGGGTAGATGCGGTGATCGATAGTCCCTGGTGGTAAGCATTTTGTAATGATGATAGTTGACTGAGCGTCGTGAACCTCAAATGAGCGTGCTTAAACGTTTGACCCAGTGGTGGTGAAAATTGGAGTCTGTTTTGATAAATAATGGAGCATATTTTCAAAAAAAAAGTGAATGAGCGTGCGTAGACAGTTGAGCCTTTTCTCATCAACAGTTGGATGAGCGTCCATGATCAGTTGAAAGACCATTCGTAAACATTTTACCGGCTTTTTAACAGTTGAACTGCTGTGTAAACACTTGAACTGCTGTGTAAACAGTTGAGCTGCTGTGTAAACAGTTGAGCTGCTGTGTAAACAGTTGAACTACTATATAAACAGTTGAACTGCTGTGTAAATAGTTGAGCTGCTGTGTAAACAGTTGAGCTGCTGTGTAAACAGTTGAACTGCTGTGTAAACAGTTGAACTACTATATAAACAGTTGAGCTGCTGTGTAAACAGTTGAATGATTGTGAACAAATAATCGAGTACGACTTCATGAACAGTAAAATGATCGTGCGTGAACATTCGACTAAGCTTCCGTAAATAGTTAAGTTTGCTCAGATAAAACGTTGACTAGCTTTCTGAAATAGTTGAGCCTGATCGGAAAACAGTCACCAGCCTGGAATCGGTGACCAGCACTAATAACAATTTGTCGATGATGACAGTGCCGACGCGTCGACAAGCAGACTATCAATACTGAGTCTAGACGCGTTGACAAACGGTGTCGCTCAGGCGGTGTGTCACCCTTCGCCCACACTTCGTCCGACTCGGGAAAAGACCCCACCAACATCACTGTATTTTTCTCGGGCCAACAGCCGTTGTCAAGTCCTTCTAGACAGGAAATAGAGTCTTAACAAAGGGCTGGCAGTTGTGTACAAAAGGAAAGCTACATCATGTCGTTAAATTGGGAGGCCCTACACCAAGAATCCAGTTGGCTAGAGCTTCCTAGTATATACTGAATATATATATTGTAGCCGCACCTCTATAGATCAATGAAAAACATTTTTTTTTGGTCTACAGACGCCATAACATCAGAGTCGCGCGCGTGGCTTGTATATCTCTAATGGCCTCACAGACACATGACTAATGAAGCTTACACCGGTTTATTAGAGTATGACAGCGATACATCATGGAAGAACTGGGACTTAGTCAGTTCGAAGTCAAGCACGTATGATACAAATATGAAGCTAATGTTCAGCAACTCCACGGCCACAAACGGAGGCTCCTTATGAAATTGAATATAGCGGTGAGCTTTAGATTCGACAAAACGACACTATGCACGTACAGTGTGTATATACATTTTATAAGCTGCCCTGCCCCATACCCTGACGAGGCTGCCGTGGTACGCCCATCGAATAGCAAGGTGTATTACATTTGTGTTACCGATAGCAGTCACCAGTCTACGAGGATGATATACCATCGAGGGTTTATCAAGGCACTTACACAGACGGATTGAAAAGCATCGAGCAGGAAGCTATATGAGCCCTGCATCATCGGCCTACAATTTGCACAGCATGACGAGCACTCTTCTTAAGACTAGATGAAAGACCTGAAAATACTACGAAAGAACCTCACAAGTACTCTTCGTCAGTCAGCAGCTCACGCGGAACATAAGATGTGCCTAGCAAGGCAAGTCAAGGCCTTGTGGTGATCGTGCGTTGCGAGACATCAGCGACGCAGCGACGCACAGCTGTGTGTCTGATGACACGTGACTGCGATAGCTGAGATGTGTGATTGATGAGGTGGCCAGCAAGCGTTGTGTCATGACGCATCACCCGCATCCAGCACGATGGCACTCTCGAGGACAAAGTCAGCAGAGCTTGCTGCGTTAGGAAAAGGAGCAACAAAGCGCGCTGCGAAGAGCCTGGAGCGAGCAAAAATGATTTCACACAGCCTGCAGAGATGTACGCAATGGCGCAGATGTCACAGGGACTTGACAGCACGATGCAACGTAGAGACACCGAGCTCGCATCTCACACCACACCACCGTGGTGCAAGTCTCACTGTTGGACCTGGATGACAAGCACCTGAGCTAGACATCCAGCACCAATACGTAAGACCCCGTCTATGTTCTGCCATGGTAGTTCGACGATAGCCCTACATGGTCATGGCTGTCTCTTCATAGATCCCCACACCTAGCAGAGTGAATCTCTGGGTGAAACTGATATCACCGAGTACCAAATTCTCTGAATTTCTCGATTCGCCAATAAACTGGGCATGGATTCTTGGAAGCTCAAACCGACTTCTCTTCAGCAGCATCGGGGCCGGAGCCATGTGTCACGTGATGAGATGGCAGTGTCGGAACAATGGATCATGTAATCAACTTTATTAGTCAGCGTACCACATGTTAAATTGCTGTGGTGGAGACTAGAGAATACCAGACAAGTACACAGACGTGACCCATACCATTGGTACATGCTGTTCGACCCTGATTACGTGTTCAGAGAGTCCTCCAAGGTCACCTGACGTTTTCCATCTATGCGAATTCGGCTGAAATCACGCATTAGACCATGAATCGTACGTATATGGTCTGAAGTAGTCCCATCTCTTATACTAGCCCACAGTAGCATATCATCAAGATGGTCTAATATCAATCTATCGGACGGGACCATATCTGTAGGGGGGTCCAAGGTTTCGTCCAACGGTTGATCTGTGATATATATATCTCCACCACCACCAAAATCAAGGTCTTCAGGGGGTGGATCACTTTCGTCTGATGGGTTTAAAAAGTCATAAAACGCCTCTGGACCCCCCTCTCGGCTATTGACCCCAAGCTTAATTAAAGCTTCGTTAAAGAGCACCCCTAATTTTTCGGTTAAACCGGGCTCTGTTAGAGGTGTGCTTGTGGGTATAGGGATATCGTCTGTAGGGGTGATAGCTGGAGATCTCCGAATCAACGTGCTTTTAAGAAAGCAGTTGAATATGGTTTCGTCCAATACCTTCACAGCCCACATCTTTGTAAGCCAATTGACAGTATATAATAACGTCATCCTCGATTGTGGGTTTGGTCGACCTTGATCCAATAGACAAATCATCCACCGGACCCAAAATTTGCGATAGTGGTGCTTCAGATTTTGAATTATCCCTTGGTCCAAAGGTTGATAAATCGAGGTTGAATTTGCTGGGAGGAAAATAACCTTAACTCGGGGCGGTGGGGGTGCTTTTTGGAGTCCAACAAGATATGGTGACGCATTGTCAAGTAATAGGACGACTCGTCTTTCCATACTAATTCGCTGGTAAAAGGAGCGTAACCATTGCTCCATGATGTCACCGCGCATCCACGCCTTCTTGTTATTTCTCCAAACATATCCCACCTTTCGGCTATCTACTCCCCGGAGTGCGCGAGGTGTTTTTGCGGTCCCAATTAACCGTAGGGGCACCCGATCACTTCCGGTAGCGTTTGTCGCAACAATAACCGAAATTCGAGTTTTATCAAGCTTTTGCCCTGCTTGCTTCTGCTTATCAAGGCTCCCATTAGGCATACGTCTCCAATATAACCCTGTTTCGTCCATATTATAGATATCTTCAGGGTTATATTGATCACAAATTGCCCGGATTGGCTTGATATCCTCATGAATAGAGGTTGGAACCGAAGCAGCTTCACCATGAAATCGGTAATATTGGATATTATGCCGCTTCTTAAAACGGTATAACCATCCATCTGAGAACTGTGGTTTTGGCATATCTTGATATTCAGGTATTGTCCTCCAAAGCTCAGCAGCTTTCATCTGAAGGATATGGCCAGTAAGAGGTGGGTGGTCTTTCTGAGCAATAACCCAATTAACCCATTGATTAAGCTTTTCGTCTAAAAGTGGCCAATTAGACGCAGAAGCACGCATAGATAAGCCTGCTGGGCTACTATCAAGGTGGGCGTATTTGGATGAAAGCACTCTTGTTATAGTTGAGCGGTTAATTGGTCGTTTAAATTGAGACGAAAACCAATCTGCACACACTTTGTGTGATGGACGAGGGGTGGTTTGAGAGTAATAAACCCTAAGCGCTTGCTTTTGTGCGTCAGATACGCCTTTTCTAGCATATTTTGGCACTTTTTGCACTTTTTGCTGCACAGGTGGGCGGACAGTGGTCAGGGATGGAAGTGGGGCATTATCCTCGGATCCAGATATTTTGATTGGTCGATACGGCTTATTAAGCGCGAGATGACTCAGCAAATTATGATGAAAAGTGGTGGTAAAGGTGAATGTGGCTCTTATCAAAAATTTGTATGTAAAAATCAATAAAAGTGGGTCCATCCACGCGAAGGTGGTGCCCTAACCGCGATTGGGCCATAAGAGGGAGTGGCGTAAGCGAGCGTTGACTGTACTAAGGAAACAAACGATCCATAAAGCTAGTAGATCCCGTATCCGAAAGGAAAAATTCATCAGATCCACCCGCAAACCCTGTTCAAAAAATGAGGGTTTGAATAAACGGCAAGATGAGGATAATGACATACCGGAAGTACAGTCGGACCCCATGGACGTGGCCGGGCGCCCAACCGCAGTCACAAAATCCAGCACAGCGCCAAGGATCGCCTCAAGAGCACTCGAGAAAGTCGACTCGGCGCAGACTTTGTTCATCCGTTGAAGGAGGTGGTAAATTGACCGGAGCAACTCAGCATCTTCGAGTCTGCTCGGGTCACGTATAACACCCGAAGCGAGTGCAGACAGGGCAACGAGCGAGTCCGTCACAAATAGACTGAAGAGATGAGTTACTCATGGAATACGAAAAGTAAAAACGTAGGGCAAAAATACCGTGGTAGAATCGCATGGCTTTTCACTTCATCGATGGTCTTACTTCCCATCGTGATCAATATCCGAACGGCATTTTGTGCATCGGCAAGGCTTTCGGCGCTATTCAAATCAGATGTGACCAACTCATGAACTATCAATCTTGTAGTCAAAATCGAGTATTGTATGGAGAGCTGGAAGGGATTCATTGACAGACATGCCAAATTAGCAAGGCTAACATCGACACCAAGACTGGCCTGAATTTGCTGTAATTCATCAAGATAGCCAAACGCAAGGGTTTGCGTGGCTGTCCCCAAAGGGCCATTTGTACTAGATCCAAATAACGTCACGCGCATATTTTCTCGTATCTGTGCGAGACGAATGTTCGCAATGAAATGACTCTTCGCGGGGCTTTCTGGCTGCTCCACTGGTAGAGGTATCTGTAAAGTATAAAATGACTGGCCAGGACTCGGAAAAGATATCGAATTCTCCAAGATACTCATGCACCAGGACACGTCGATCCTTTCCTCATCGACAACAGGTTCCTGCTGTTTCTGAAGAGGGTCCGCTTGCATGTCCATCAGTTTGCATACTGTCTGCGCGAGTTGCAAGCAACTTCGTGCCATCTTCACAAGGCACATTGACTGGCATACTAGACACTATCACTCTGGTGGTCAGTAGCTCTTAAAAGATATATGTATGAATGTCGAGAAATAAAGAACAGTTGCTCACCAAAGACAGAAGTGCCTGTACATTCACCAATGTGGGATAGAGAGGGGATTTGAACGCGCCCATCGCATTATCCCAGAACGTTCTCAGTAGACTGAGCTCCATTGAAACTGGGATTTCTTCTGCAAGGCGGGCTCTAGACGTAGCCAACAACGCCAGGAGAATCATGTTGTTGAAGCATAGTGATAATGCTGGATCTTGGAGGTCGTCTGCAGTATTGTTGTACAGCCTTATCTTTTCTTCAACATTTGATCGTGAAAATATGGGGAAATAATCGTTGACGTTATCGAAGTAAGTCGTGACCATGGCTTGCAATATTGACAACGGTGGCTTGGAGACCTATTAATAAACAAATTCCTATTAAAGTAATAATTGTTTCGTTATAAAATGGTGCTAATGCAAATAGAATAGATTTATTCTATATAAAGATAAATAATCTATTTTTTTTTTTTTTTTTTTAATTTACACTATCAGAAATAGTGAAAGAAGATACTGAATACTCAACTCCTTGGAAGAAAGTAAATATTACCTTTATCAAGACTTTATCGCACTATGTCCGATTATTTAACATTCATCTTTGCCTTAACACTGCTATTACCTTCATCAGGTAACCATTCTTGAACCTCGGAGGCTTCATTTAAGGAGTGGTGAAGGGTATGTAGGGGCTCCACAAGTCTCTCCTCTCCATGAAGACTTTCAGAAGCGATTTGACCCAGCCGTTTTGCGAGTGAAGCGAAACCCCACTTTCCCTCCAAAGTGGGTCGATACGGCTCTGTAGCGCTGGGCAAAAAATCTTGGTTTATGGGAATTTGGGGTTATGAGCCGCTGGCGGTTATAGACCTCCGTACACTGCCCATCATATTTGAGTGATGTCATGCAGGTTGCCTTAATGTGACCAAGTACCTAGGTGGAACGTGGCAATTCTATTATGAAAGACACCACTAAAGAAAAGATTGCGAAAAGTGGAGAAAATAAATAGAAATCAAAATTGAAAGCAATTGGACAGCCATCGTCTCTTTCAAGTTTCTGCACCAATCCACGGATCCTCCCCAGATAGCTGAGGACCTCCCCCATCAGAAATTTTCATTATCAGTTCCTATCCTCCTTTGAAATAGTCAATTCCTCTTTGTATTCTATTTTTAGGGGCAATTTGCCGTTTGATCGCCCTGTACACTGCCTGGCCACGAAATATACAAATTCACAACCTCAATTCTTTGGTAAGATTACACGTTTCTGGTAATTGGCTTTCTATCTTTCCAAGCCCTGGAGGGTATCAAATACCTCGCGCTAATGCACTCAATATGATATTTTGTACATTTCGTGGCCAGGCAGTGGAGGGTATTGATTTGAAATCGTGTATTTTTCCATTTTCTACCAATCAACCATGGTCTAGAACACCGTGGGCAATGCATGGGCTATGTAACCTGTACCCACACAGTCCACACTGCCTGGCCACATGAAACACGAAAGCCACTAGCGCCAATGATATCACCATGAATTGTAGTTTCGTATTCTTACTGTATTTAACATTATTTAAAGCCCCGGAGGATAAAATTATATAGTAACCGGCCCTTACAAAAATTACCATTTTTTACCGACCCGAGCTAGCGAGGGTCCGACACTTCAACGAACATTGCCCCTCCAACGAACATTTCCACCATACTTCAATTTTAGCTGTCTAAATTATGCAATATATAAGGTGTTTTCTCAATAATTCTTGTAGAATATGAATTTCCAATAGCTAGAGAGCATATATAGAGCTTTTTAACGATTCAGACGTCTTCCTGTACGCCTACACTCACGTCGAAGCTCCATCATGACCTTCTTCCACTTCGGTCGCAATCCATCAATAGCCTCCAATTCTGTCAATTTCTGCTCGTTTTTCTTCATTTTTCCTATATCTAAAGAAGATATACGGCGCCCCCTCCCCCGCCTTGCCCGTGATCAACATCCCGCAGAAGATATTGAAATTTCCAACTCCTATGTTCGATAAGACTCAAAATCTTTAAGATCATCTACGTAGTTGACGTAAAACGAAATTTGAAAAATACTATACTCGTGAGAGCCACAACTCCGGTGAGAGCCACAGCTCCTGCGAGAGCCACAGCTCCTGTGAGAGCCACAGCTCCTGTGAGAGCCACAGCTCCTGCGAGAGCCACAACTCCTCTCTAAGCCCAAAACTTGACGCATATCAAAGCACTTAGATCAGTAATCTCGATTTGACCATTTTCTACGCCGCTTTATTGCCACGGCCATTCCCTCGCAGTGCTGAGTCCAAAACTTGACGCAAACCAAAACAGCTGGATCATCAAGGGCTTGAAATAACGTTTTGCCCGCAACACCGTTTCCTGTACTTGTCGATAGTATGCGCTGACTATAGCTCTGGAATGGAGCATTTAGAAAAAGTATGGATTTAAAATTAATTCCAGAACAGTAAATTTTGTTTGTTGAACTTTCAAAAAATTTGGACCGGCCTGAATATTTTGGGACTCAAATTTTCACGATCAATATTTTTGAAGAGCTCAAAATATTACCCAATCTTGATATTGTGCTCCTTTAGTTTTAACAGACAGCATGTTTTTAAATGTCCTAATTTTTCGTTCTCCTGATTTTATCCATACTGTAACATTAAAACGCTTCGGTGTTAGCCGGACTTAGCGATAGAGCGATTGAATGCACAAAGTAGAGAAATGACATGGAGACTTTCTGGCAACTCTATAGCTAGGCGGTGTAGACTATAAACAATTCCATTCAATTTTTTGGCCGCTTTTGGATAAGCCAGAGCCATCTAGGAGATCAATAGCACGTGGGTGATTTCCACTAACCGGCCGCGTGGCAGGTTGACACTCAAAGATGACCTTCAAATTGTGCAAAAGACATTTGCGAAAAAGCGTAGAATTTTGGCAAGTGACTACACATATTTTCTCGACACTGTCTTTCCATAATCAAAGTAGAACGGCAACTATGCTCAGTGCGTGGGTCAGCACCTGAATCAGATTTGGGGAGCAAGTGGGTCTTGACCTTGCAACAACACTCTGCCCGCGACACCGTTTCCTGCCGCAATGGCCAAATTTCATGGCAAAATGAAAAAGGTGTCGCAGGCTTATTACGTCATCAGTCAAGACTGATTGGCTATCTTGCTTCACCCTGAGCTGTTACTTCACTCACCTACCTGTATCTTCGACACATTTTCTGGTATCTTTTCAAAGACACTGCTTAAATATTATCATAAAACTCTCAATGACAACAGGGGAAATGATATTTCGACATTTGCGACGCCAAAATCGTGGTCTTTTAGGGCTACAACCATGGTCTGTGGTCCTTTGAAAATCAAAAGGCGTATTTCCACCCTTTCCCAGGTTCAACTTTCTCATAGTTCACTACCTATGAATACATAGCGCTAAGCCCATCCCCCGCTTTATATCATTATAGTATTTCATTCCTATCTTTACAATGGCCACAACGTCCGGCGTACGATCAAAGGCTTTGAGGGTGGAGAGAAAATCGCTTCGACAGAAAAGAGACCGACGCAAGACGAATCTAGAGAAGAAGTCGCAAGAATATAGCGAGATTTGCGGTGCGGATGTTTGCTTGGGGATACGCATTCGAGAATCAGGCAAGGTGTTCATTTTCTCAGCCGACGCATCAGGGTTTTGGTCATTCCTAAGCTCTCAGCTAGTATGTGCTGTCGATAATCTTCATGGCTCCGAGCATCAAGCATATTAACTTTGCTAGGGCTCCTACTATCCAACGCCAGTTGAGAGAAGCAATAAGAACCTCTAAGTGACCAATCATCATAATGATGACACAAGAAGCTAGATCTGGGGGACCAGCTACGGCCGACTACTGGCCGGGTAATAGAGGTACGATCTAGCCTACCAGGAGCGCCTGTACATTTCAGCAATGCGCCTTCTACTCTGAGCGGTCCATCGATTGCAGTTTTGGCTTTCTGGGTACAAATTGATGGATATCCGCCATGATAGCTGTTGAAATCAATGAATTAACCAGTGTTTATTTCTATCAGTTGATCGCACTTGTACAAGGAGAATACCGGGTGGTAAAAATGCAATCATAATTATATCTCGGGTAATCAAAACAGAGCCCACAAAAAAGAGGGTGGAGTGCGGTTTATACAGCGTCCTCTAAGTCGAAACGCAGAGCGGTGATTGGAAAGGATCGGGCAACTATGCTCAACAGGTCAACGGCACAAGGAGAATCACGGGCGGTGAATATGCAATCAAAATCTAAACTCGAGTGGTCAAGAAATAGTACAGTGAATCGTAGGATAGGGTGAATCGTGGTCTGTCTTGGGAAATCCAGGATCTCAGGATACGGTGAATCGTCTATCTTGGGAAATCTAGGGTCTCAGGATACGGTGAATCGTAGGATAGGGTGAATCGTGGCCTGTCTTGGGGAGTCCAGGGTCTCAGGATACGGCAAATCGTAGGATTGGGTGAATCGTGGTCTATCTTGGGAAATCCAGAGTCTCAGAATACGGCAAATCGTAGGATTGGGTGAATCGTGGTCTATCTTGGGAAATTCAGGGTCTCAGGATACGGCGAATCGTGGTCTGTCTTGGGAAAACCGTGGCCCGTCTTGGGATACTACACACACACACACACAATTCATTAACGCCCGGCGGCTGAGCCGAAAGGGCAACTATCGCTAATCTACTATACATGTCATAATATATACAGTACTGTGTCTCATTGGAGCCCATGCATAAAACCTTGCCATATGTGTCTTTTCAGCACGCAGTGTCGCAGCGGATGCTCGTGGGTTAGTAATTTGGTTAGTAGGCTGGCTTGAAGGCGCTTCTCCAAGTGTTCAACATCCTATCTTCGGCAGTTGAAGCACGTCTACTATCTGTAGCACGAGGTGGTTGGTGAGTTAGATCGGAAAAAGGGTGGTTTAGGTTGGTCGGCGTGGTTAAGTGGCCTCGAGTCGGCCCGTCGCGATGGCGAATCGTATTGAGGCCCGTACGGCCTCTAGGTTTGGCGTCAACTTCTGATCATCAGAAGGTGATTTCCCTCCCAGGAAGAAGGACAGGTTTCCTCGGTGGGTGTTGGTACATTGTATCAGTTCCGTCCGGTGTGCAGTCCACTTCCGACATCGAAAAAGGAAGTGCTCCACGGTCTCTTTGGCTTGTCCGCATGCACACTGATCTGTCTCTGCCGCGTTGATCCGATACAGATATCCTTTCAGTCCCGCCATGCCAGTCCGGAGCTGGGCCAGCACGCTCGCTTCTTTCCACGACAAGCGATCATACAGCAGTCGAGTGTGCTTTCCTGGGAGTGCTGCATCTACTCGTTTGGCGTGTTTTCCGACGTCCACTGGCAGGCCATTTCTAGGGACTGCTTGGGACCGTGCGTTGTTCAATGTGGTCGACTTCATCCTCGGGATGCGCTCTTGCGGGAGAGCATCTTCTTGTGTCGCGGCTCTGGCCTGTTCTTTAGCCAGACCTAAGAGTTTGTTGTCTTTGCTAGTGGGGATCCAGACAAATTTGATCCGGTTTCCATTTCTCTGCAATCTTCTCATCAACTTGTACATCCGACAGATAAATTTTTGGCCAGATTGTTGTCGGGGGTTTCTTAGCGTGAGAACCGCCGCTTTGTTGCTTGTGAGCAGCGTGATCCTGTAGTCTTTCAGTCCCACGACCATGCCCAGCCCATGTGCCATGCCGGCCAGCTCCGCCGAGAATGGATTTTGCTCTGCTCTTGCACCCAATGTGATGGAAAGGGTTTTCTGTTTCAATTTTCGATTTCGAGGTGGCTTCTTCTCGATAGCTACTCCAAACCCCACCAGCTCGTTCCGTGCCGAGCTGCGGACCGCGACCTGCATGCACCCGCCCGCTTGGGGTTTAGGCTCTTTCTGTTCATCAATATCGGTTTGCATGCGTTCCTCTCATGGGGCTAACGTAAATGGGTTTATCGTTTCCAGTATGTCCATGTCGATGTGCTTAAGCGCATCGGCTACGTGGTACAACGGCGAGCGGTGGTATCTTCTGAACTTCCTGATGCGATCTGTGCTTCTGCGGAGAGGATTGGTTTCCGGTAGCGTGTGTATGTCCGTCCATATCTTCACAGCTCGTCTCCAGAATCGGTGCTGTGCCGTGGCAATGTGGGCCTCCGCCTCTGCTATACTAGTCGCCACCGTGAGGAACGTTCCCACAATGGCTTGCGCTCCTACCCTTTGGACTCGGTTAATCGGCCCCATGGCCTTATTCTTACACGCGTGCATCCACACATTGGAGGCGTAGTCCACGACCGGCGCCACCGTCGATGAGAATAGCTGCCGCGCTGTTGCTGGAGATAGACCCCGCAGTCGTCGAAGCTCCATCACGGCCTCCAAGCCCTTAGATGCGGCCCTCGCAATATGTTCCTTGTACTTGAGTCGCGTGTCCATCAAGACGCCTAAAATCTTAACGTGGTCCTTCGGTACGACTGTCTGTCCCTCGATGGTGAACGACTCATGGTCCGATTTACCCGTCTTGGGGGCAAAGTGTATGACAGCCGTCTTTTTCGCTTTAAAAGTCGCTCCGCTTCGTCTTTCCCAGTCGAGCGCCTCATTGATAATTGCCTCGATTCCTTCCCGGTTACTCTGCGCGGTTGTTCCGGTCACCCATGCGGTAAAATCATCCACGAAAGCGACTGCTCCTCCATGGCTATCGATCTGTCTTTGCACGAGGTCTGCGTTGAAGAAGAGAAATAGGATCGGGGATAGGGGCGAGCCCTGCGGCAGTCCAGCCTGTGGCAGGTCCTGGACCTCAGATAGCTGTCCGTTGATCTGGATGTTCGCTGTTCGTTCCGAGCAAAACGCTTCAATCCATCGGAGCAGGACCTCTGGTATGCCTCGGGCTTCCATCCTCTCAAGCAGTCTTTCCTTGCAGACTCCATTGTAGACTCCTTTCACATCGAAACTGATCAAACTCAATATCCGTCGGCCGCGCCAGGCTGCGTAGATCTGCTCCTGCAGGAGCAACAGTGCTTGCTCTGCGGACCGCTGTTTTCGGGCCCCAAAATGGCTCGTCGGGAGCAGCCCATGCGTCTCCACCGCGTGTGAGATCCTTTCTGCAACCACCGATTCGAGTATCTTTCCAAGTGTCGCAAGGAGTGAGGTTGGCCTCCATGCCTTTGCAATTGTGTAATTATCTTTATTCGGCTTTTTGAGCGGTATGATCTTTGCGTGTCTCCACTGCCTTGGTAACGTTCCCTCCTTCAGCGAGGCTTGGAATAGATCGAGTACCCTGTGCTTGACTGTGGACCACGTCATCTTCCACACAATCGCGGGTAGGCCGTCCTCACCAGGTGCTTTCCATGACTTGGCCGCCGACAATTGCCGCTCGATCTCCTCCATCGTGATTGCTGGCATGTCTACGGGCGCTCTTTGTGGTCTCACTCCTTCCTCATCGATATTATCTGGCAAAGGCGGGAAGAACTTGGATAACAATTCCTCCGCTTGCTCCCTGTAGTCATTGGTGGTAGTTCCATCTGCTCTTAGGAGCTGCGGAATCTTCCCGAACGCCGCGTCGTCTCCCGACTTCAGGTACTTGGCGGCTTTCCAGATGTTATCGTTATCTGCAAGGAAATCGTTCCAGTGCTTCTTCTTTTGCTGTCGAATGGCATCGTGGTATTGTTTTGCCGCATCTTGAGCCATCGTTTCGAGCCGAGGTATTTTTCGCCCCGCCCGCCGCTCGGAGCGAGCGTGGTTTCTCCAGTACGTGTATATGTGACGGAGTTGAATCAGGTCTGCTGTCCACCATCGCTTCGCGTGCGGTGATGTTTTCGCCCTTGGCGTTAAGGCATGCACCGCTTCCAACACCGCCGACATGAGTCGATCGGTTTTCTGCTGTACCGTGCCCTCTGACGGAAGGGTAGCCAGAGCGTTCTCAATCCTGGCATTGATCTTCTTCCATGGTGCATTTTTCAGCAAAAGTCGTTCTGGGGGCTTTGGGCCCGACCATGGGGCGTCGAAGACGGTCTCAATGGCGCAGTGATCTGAGCCGTGGTCAGTCCCGAGTATTGCACACTGAGTCATGGAGTCCGTCAAGTTTTCTGAAGCTAGGACGAGATCGATGGTAGACTCGCAGTCCCCACTCTGTCCTCCGCCGTGCCATGTCTTGGTGCCTCGTTTGAGCAGGCTGCTGAGGGCAAGTTCATTCATGAGGTTGATGATTGGGTCCGCTTCACCTTGTCTCCCCAACGAGACTTCATCTCCACCCCAGAGCTGATCATGTCTGTTAAAGTCCCCCACGATCAGAGTCTCTACCACCGTACCTGCGTTCCGCCGTACCTTGGTGATCGCGTCGCGTACGTGATTGCATGCGTCGTCCAACGCCGACGCATTCCCTCCTTCAACGTAGACTGATGCCATGAATATCAGCCGCTCGGGGAGCCTGACCATCGCTGCTGTGATGTCCGGGGACTCCACCGGGACCTGCTCCGCTTCGATTTCTTTGTTGACCCAGAGCATGCTCCGAATCGCCCATCTCCCTTCCCTCCAGATGGAGGGCACCATCTTTGTCCATTTGTGATGCCCCATCGGGGTGGTCAAGAGCCGGCCTTGAATCCTCCTCGCTTGGGGTTCCTGAATCGCTAGCGCCACCGCGTTCTGAGTGTCTTCGTCATTCATTAAGCTCTCGTGCACTGCACCCTGCTTCCTCACATTCAGTTGAATTACTCGGAGACTTTGGCCCATGACCTATGGGCCAAAACCCATGGGTTCAAAAGACCATGGGACTCGAAACCCGTAGGTTATTACGTAAGGCCTATGGGTAACGTATTTCACCTATGAGCGGATCACCCCCAAAACACATAGTAAATGCGATAAATTACAACTTAATATCTCACCACCCTAGTTATTTAGGGGGCTTACCTTATGGTATAATATCTTTAATATAATATCTAACTATTATTGAAAGTCTAAGGAATCAGAATACCTTAGTTATACCTATAGATACATTTATATTGCTCTAATCACCGTAATTTCCGTAACCACCATAATTTACTTTTTGATTTTCCTTGAAAATTACATAGAGGGTACAAAAGCCTTATCGATAGCTATCTATAAGTAGCGGATTGAGAACAACTTATGATTGCTGAGATATCATTATTTGAAGTTATCGCATTTACTATGTATTTAGGGGGTGATCCGCTCGTAGGTGAAATACGTTAACCCATGGGGACCCATGAGCTGCATAATCTATTACACTTAACCTAATTCAGGAAGCATAAATCTTATTTATTACTGTATGTTTCAATTACAAAAAATACTACAATAATCAACTTTGAATATTTTAATCAAGGAAAAAACTCAATAAAAATGATGGAGCATATATGTATCATTCCTAAATCACCTATGAAATAACTATGTTTCCCCTCAGATCTCACTAGTCCAGTAATTTGCACTATCACGAAGGTTATCACAATTTATTTGAACTGCTCCAGCTTCATATGCAGCTTCTACTGCAATTCCATAAAGTATGACCGAATTGCTAATTGCCAAAGAGTATATCCATCCTCATGTTAAATAGCTTTATCTCTATAATCAATTCACTTTCCAAAAATCTTCATACACAATTCACCTATGATAAACCTTCAATTCATATCTAGAACAACTCTAAATAATACACTCTCCATACTGCATAATATATTTTAAATACAAAAGTTATGCATGCCCCACTTTTCCTTAAACCCATGGGTTTTGCACAGGTCTACTTCTGTCGCGGCCGGTCTCGCTTTCTTTGCTCTCTACCTCATCAGCTTTATGAGTTTGCAAACGGTCCAATGGCATGGAAACGAAATCACCTTGCTGGCCTCTATTTTGCGGGGGATTGGCTTCCTGCCACGGGTTGTCGAGGTAGTGGGGTGACCGGCGACCGCTTCCTAGGGAATTTTGTCTGCTTGGCATGTACAGGACTGCCATATTCGGGAATGCCATTCATTTCTGGCTAGGTTTGACCCTTTCACTGTCTTTCACGCTATTAGCAGAGCTAGGGTGACGCTCTTCGCTACTTCAAGCTTCAAGGGAATTATACTATCAACTAATTGGCTATGCACTCTCCACACTCAGCCTCCAGCATCCATCACTGGACTTAATTAGACAGAAGCCTTCTTTATGAACGATTCCGTTTAGAAATAGAGTAAATGTGGTTATTCGATTCACCACATCGCGCACCTGCTACAATCTATCTTTGTCGAAAAGTAGTAGGATATCTATCACGTAGCTTGCGTAGACACTGCTGTGTTTTTGGATGATCTTCACCAAGAGTGTCTCTGCGACCCTCAAAGACCCTTCGATATGCTTTCTCCGCTTTGTAGTCGTTTCGTTGTTGGAAGTGAGCGTCGCCAAGGTAACCGAGAGACTTGAGTGTTTTTTCATGATTTGCACCAAGAGTGTCTCTACGGCCCTCATAGGCATGCCGAAATGCTCTTTCTGCTTCGTGATTCTGTCCTTGCCGATAGAGAACAGTTCCTAGGCAGTGTAAAGACATAAGCGTCTCTTGGTGCGTTCTTCCAAGGGTCTCTCTTTGGACTTTCAAGGCCTCTCGATATGCTTGCTCCGCTTTGTCATACTTTTGCCGTTTGGATAGAGTGTCGCCTAGCCAACAAAGAGAGCTTAGTGTTTTTGGATGACTTGCACCAAAAGTCTCTCTGCGGCCCTTGAAGGCCTCTCGATATGCTTTCTCCGCTTCGGCGTACTTGTGTTGGCCATAGAGATCATGGCCTCGGCGATGATAAGCCTGAAATGGATCACTATTGCCCAGATGGGGATCTAAGCCGCTCATGGTGCACAAAGTAGATTTGCTCGTCGATTTTGACCATCTGATGAATAGCAGGAAGCCAATTATCTATTTGTAAGAGGAAAGCAGCTACGAACAGAGCGCCACACCCTACCACCACATGATACAACCCATTTTGGCCCCAGCCGCATGATTGCCCAACCAATAGACGGTTCTTGTCAGGAGGAGCTTCCTTTACCGGGGGGTTCGGGTGCGAACTGTGCATGGAGGGTAAGCGCTAATCACCGAAAAAACTAGCACACCTAAGACAGTGTAGGTATACCCGAACATGCTGGCTGTACAATGGTGCAGATGTCGGCCTCTGTGCTCCGCCATGGGGGAAACCAACATGCAATTTAATGTAGGACAATCTTCCTCGAAAGCAGCTGTTTGGGGGCCAACGTGGGATTTCGCTGCAGTATTGTCTATTGGCGGATAAAGATACCCTATGCAGCTGGATGCAAATTGGGCACCCACCTAGGCTTCGGCAGGCCCGCCACGAAAATCCCGTAAGGTCTATGAGAGTGGAGCCAAGGAGACAGGAACCAGCAGTGATTACATTTGCTTACCAAAGTGGTCAAGTGGTCAAATTGAGACCGTTTCGCTGTCGCGACCGATTTTCTCAATATCTTTTTATCTTTGACCGTTTCCCCATAGGTCTCACCGATGTTTGGATTACCGGCATCGTGGGACATTTTGTCCCCTTCCACGTGGATTCTTTCTACTGTAAATTTAATACATATACGGATCTGTGAATTACTACATGCGGTTAAGTCCTAATCTAGCGCCTCCCTATGTCGGTTTCTTCCCTCTGTTGCCCTGATTTATGGGCTATAACAAGTCCCATATTCCCGAGTAGTAAAGGTCTTGATCTTGACACAGCAGCCTGAGTAGTCGATTAGGATGTCAAATTGTTTCTTCAGTCGCGAAGATTGCTTTCATACAGCTTCTATATCCAAGGAATACTATTCACATGACAGTACAGGCAACCACAGCCGGGACAACTACAATAGAGGTTAGATAACTTCAATGTTGCAGCAAGCCTAGTCATCCAAGGTTCAAAGGAATGGACTTGGAATGATACTTACTAGCAGCGAGAATAGCTGGAATAGCAGCGATTACCGCGTCTTGCGCGAACTTCCTCTTCTTAGACACGGCCACTTCAGCCTGCTTCTCCACCACTTCAGCCTGCTTTTTCTCAACTGCCTCCTCATAGTTCGGTGGTGACTCTTCATAGTCATATCTGTGGGAGGATCCGCGTCTGGAATTAGCCGACGCCCTCCTCTGCAGTTCTCGCTTCTCTGCTTCCAGTCGCGATAGTTGACGCTCGTGGGCCGCTATTTGGGCCTTGGTCTTCATGTGGGCATCGTGCAGTTTCTGGATCTGGGAAGGCAAATTTTGTTAGTAGTCATTCTTAGGGGTAAAAAGAATCATGCACACTAACCAGTAACTGCTGCTCCCTACGCGTAACCTCCGGTACGCATATAGCCATCTGGGCTTCGGTCTTGCTAAGCTGTCTTATCATTCTTTCCTTCTCCTCTTTCATCTCCCGCAATTCCATCGCACCTTCATAGTCAGATTGCCTGATAGCAAGTCTAAGTAAGGCAATCTCTTCCATTGCCGCATTGTATTTGCGAGCCACTTCATCAAGTACAACTCTCCCGGCTGCCGTATTGTCAAGTCGCTTATTCTGGTCAACGAGTTCACGCTGGATTGCTAAAGCCGGAGGTGGGCCACGGTGCCTGTTCACGTTGATCAGGTGTCTAACAATGCGACGTGCAGAGGATGCGCCATCGTCTTGTCGAAATAAGATGGCACCGCCGTTCACTAATAGCCGGAAGAATGCATCGTGCTCTAGCAGCATGTGCTCCCTGTTTCTCAGTGTCGAGCGTGATTCCGTAGTGGTACTCCAATGTGTGGTGGCAAGGGCAACGTTGGGGAAGAAGCCAGAGCCACACAATGCTTTCATTAACTCGATGTTGCGGCGTGCAGAACCAGTCATTCTGTTCTCTATGATGGGATGTAAAAATATAACGCCGTGGATATAGACACCCCGCGCATAGGAGGCGCTAAGGTAGGCGGATATGGTTTGCAGAATGACGAAATCAGGACGCTCGGTGAAGTTGCTATCGTCAAATCTAGATAGAGAGTTCTGTGATTAGTTTATTGATGAAAGGCCAGACAATTCTAGAGGATTCCACACGGTCAATGACTTAGTACCTACCCGGGGGTATCAATTAAGTAGACTTTTCGGCCATCCAATCTGAAGTCGAACACTTTGATCTCGGATGTACCTTCCAAAATTATGGTGAACTGGGGTTTTATCTCTTAACTAGACTTGACTTACACGATAACAGACCATGGCCAATATGCACATCTTGCCCGGTACATTGGGATATTAGAGTACTCTTTCCAGCTCCAGTGACCCCCATCACTGCAATAAAGATCGCATCAGACGGGGTGTCCTTCCCTCCAGCAAACGCCAGGAGGTTAGCAATCTGTTGATTGACTTGAGCTTCAGACATGGTCTTATAATTTGAGAATGATGAGCAAACGAAACGCTGGCACTGGAGTTCTCTAAAACCGAAAAAGAAGCCCCGAGTTACATGTAATACTCAGATAATGCTGGGGTTATATCAATGGATATACCGAGGATGCATAAATATGGGAACCAAGCCCGCCATATCCGCCCGTCTCGATTTGATTTCAGGTGCATATTAGGTGTATGCACTGTGGGCGGGCTGAATGGCCTGATTCAATAGGCCTGTTGTAGACTCCAAATGCTTGCATCCTCCTAGTCCGGTTTCAGGTCTTGTATCATCCTAATTGAGGTGAGCGGTAAGCACTAACCCTCTCCGCATTTCTGCCCCTCCCTTTTTTATTTTCAGATGTGCCGTACTCCCGTGTGCGTTGCCACCGTAAACTATAATGTTCGCGCATTTCTATGACGTACTAGGCGCCTAGCTGCATGGACTGGGGGCTAGGCCTTGTTAGCGTAGTAATTTCTTGATTTAGTGAGGCAAGTATAGGTCGAAAGCACAACAATTATTGTAGGTCAAGTGAGTGGTAAGCACTAGTCCTTTCTTGCATATTTTTCTTTCGTTTTCATTGGTTGGTAGGCAGGCTGGCATAAGCCACCAGGCCGTCAGACGGTAGCGGGAATGGCGTTTCTACATATAAAAATAATTGTGAACTGACCCGGATTGTTTCAAGCAATCCACCGCGTGGTTTTAAGAGGCGGTTTAAAGGTACCTGGGCTTCAGCATGACCTAGATATGCATGGCCTCCATGGCCCCGGGGGCTGATGGCACTGCCACACAGATAGGTTTATAATCTGAGGGACAGGCAGTAAGTCGAGAAATGTATTCGTTTTCTACATTCTCTTCCATTCTTGTCACCTTCTATTTTACAATACCAATTTCCATTCACTTATCGTCCTCAAAGCATCTTTCACTTCCTTCAAAATGAGGTGGTGGTCCTTTGGAAGGAAGAATAAGGGAGAGGGTGACTGGGACACTGACTCGGCCGAATCGTCTGATTTTTCTGATTCGAATGATAATGACAATGACAATGACGGCAATGGAACTCGCATGGTCTTCTCTGATCAGCAATTTCGAGCTGGGCATAATCCCAGGTATGTGATGAACCCTCACAACGACAACGCGTGTTACTGCACAGCCGCTAAATAAAGCCAGACCAAACGATAAATTCATCGCCATCATGGGAGTGACAGGCTCAGGCAAGAGCTCGTTTATTTCGTTATTAACGGGAGGACAAGCCAAGGTCGGCTCAGGGCTGGAAGCTTGTAAGTGCAATAACTCTCCGGGGCTGGCTGAGGACATAAGCTAATAGACCCAAAGACACAAAGAATACCGACGTGTATGCCTATACTTTCGCTCCGGGCCAAACAGTGTACCTCATTGATACCCCTGGGTTTAACGACACCTACCGAGATGACACAAAGATTCTGGTCGAGATCACATCTTGGTTGACATCTTCATACAATAACAAAGTCAACCTGAATGGTGTAATATACCTGCATGATATTACACAGGGTAGAATGTTCGGCTCTGCGCTGAAAACTTTGAAAACTTTCAAGGAGCTCAGCGGCCCCGATGCGATGCAAAAGGTTGCCCTGGTAACTACTCATTGGGATATTGTCGCTCCGAGTACCCGTTCCAAGTGTGAGGACAACGAGAAGCAGCTCATCAAAGACGAAGGGTTCTGGGGCTCAATGATCAGAAGGGGAAGCTGGGTTGGAAGACATGACAATACGCCAGAATCAGCGGATAAATTAATCCGTTCCATCGTTCGCCAGTCCCGCGTAATACTGGCGGTGCAGTCACAAATGGTCGATGAGAATCTGAAGTTATCTCAGACCGGCGCTGGAAGGTCCCTGGGCATGTACGTAGCCAAGCAAATGGAGAGCGACTACAAGGAACAACTAGAGCACGTGAAGCAGCTCAGACTGGACAAGAAAAGGAGTGACGCTGCACGGGAAGCGGCACAGAAAGTTTCGACGAGAGCTTGATAGAATGCGAAAGCAGCTAGAAGTGACCAGTCGTGAGTTGAATGAACGGATGCAACGTGAGCTCGCAGCGAAGGAAAGAAAGATTCAACTCGAGCGGGAACAGCATCATCGGGAACGGGTGAGGCTGAGGGCTCATCGGGAAATTGGCTTGTCCCGCGAGGACTATGAGAGACAAAACCGTGAGAGACAAACAACCAGGAGGCAGATGCAGATTTCAGAGGAGAAAGAAGAGGAAGACAGTTGCACGGGCTCAGACAGTTCTTCTGGATACGAGCTCAACTTTGAGCTGCGCAGACGTCCCCAGGCCAATAATCGGCTTCCCAGGAACACGTCGGCCAGGACGCCTGGCCGACCAAAGAATAGGACCGGCAACAACGATTCGTCCTCTAGGAACAACTACAACGACGCCGCCTCGATGATTGTACATACAGGCATGTGAATTCCGCACAATGGAGGCCCCATCAGGGGTTTGAATGAGAAGGCGGCTTAGGGGTGGCAGTAGAGGGGCACGTCACACGTCCGGAATTTGTTTATTTATTTATTCCTCAGGCTTTTCACGACCTTAGGTCGTATGTAGCCCCCTAGCTTGTGTGCAATGCAACATTATGTACAACACATTGGTAGATCCTAGACGACAGACAGTGTTCCCAGACGTAGATGATGGTAGACGGTGGTGCTTTCAGACGGTGGTGCTTTCAGACGGTGGTGCTTTCAGACGGTGGTACGCTAAACGACAGTACATCCCATCCACAGAGTACGAGATGGGTGCGGACAGCTCGAAAGAACCGGGGGTTGCTTGGGCAAAGTTTGCACCAGACCTGGACCCGGAAAGGTCGGTGCAAAGTTATCTGCCGCGCAACCCCCTTTCACAAACACGTTGCTTCTATCATGACATAGCCCGGTAAGGTGGGAGGAGGCCTCAGCATTTCCTGGATATTCGTCAACCGTTGTCCAAGAGTCCTCACTTGTGGGCGGATGGCAAGCGGCACTTATAGCAGCTGAACATGAACCAGCCACTGGTGCGTTAGACTTCAGTCGTCTCAATGCCAATACGCCCAATATGAGTAACATTGTAGCCCCGACCAGAATAGCAAGAAGAGCGAAGGTTGGAGAGTATCCAAGCACATGCTCATATACTGTCCCACGGGATTGTATTGTATTTTTGCGGTGTATGTAATAAACGACAGGTAGTAGAGAGCCTGTGAAATCATCCAGTAGAGCACCATATATAAGATGAGAATGGGCACACTGTAGCGATACGGAATGGTCATGGCTGTCTCTTCATAGAATCCCACACCTAGCAGAGTGAATTCCTGGGTCAAACTGATATCACCGAGTACCTTATTCTCTGAATTTCTCGATTCGCCAATAAGATGGGCATGGATTTTCGGAAGCCCAAATTGACTTCTCTTGCGCAGCATGGGGGCAGGAGCTAGACCTCGCCAAGCGTGGGTTTGGGTTGGGTTTTCATTTTCTTTACCCGCCCACGGGTAGCCCACCGCGGGTTTTGGCCTTCATGAACCCGCCCGTGGGTTCTTGGCGGGTACCCGTGGGTTACCCAAAATACCCAAAAATATGGCTAAATCGCGAATAAAACTGATTAGTCACTGTGTGTAATTTTTGTATTTTATAATTGTCACGCTTTTGGCTGTGTGTTACGCTCAAATACTGCCCCCTCATCATGTGTCAGAAAATATATATATATTCTGCTCATCTCGAGGTTTCTCTTGACAGTCTTTCTGTATTTCAAGAGATCTCAAGCCGTATCGATGAGCTTATGAAAGTTTAATGGAATCCAAGCTTACTGCGTTGTATTCATTCGATTATATTCAACTTGACGCACTTAAAATTAGCCATTGGAATGTTCTCAGCGTCCTCAAGTCGCGCGGGTTTTGGGTTGGGTTGGGTTTTGGGTACCCGCGGGCTTACGCGACTCAAGAATAGATAGATCCAAACGCACGACGCGACTCTAACAAAAATCCACATTCAAGCACACAAGATGGATATTTTTATCTTCAACTCCGATGGCACAAACCATCAACATGGCGGCTTCTTCCTCGTCATCGCAATCAAGGTATCAGGCTTTCAGCCCTCTGCTCTCTATTGAGCCATCGTCTGACGTTTTGTTGGACTCGGATATTCAGTCTTCTGTATGAGAACAAATGCCTCCTTCGTGTGCTTGATTGACTATTGCGAGACTCCCCACTGGTATGCTAAGATAGCCTACAGCCTTTCACCGAATCCCGCGAGAGCTACGACATAAATACTCGAAGACCTCCGGCGACGCTAAGACGCGTGGGACCTCAACGCAGAAAGAACTGGATTTTGTACGAGTTATACCTGGAGAGAGAATTTTTAGGATGGTGGGAGAAAACCGAATATGGCCACAAGCTAAACGGGGACGGTCAGTCCCAAATCAAGTGGTCTACCGAGTCGCGTCATGCCGACGCTTGGAAACACTTTGACCAGGTAGCCGATATCGATTCTGGGCGCCCACGAGTCCTTTGTAAAGCCTGTCTTACTTTGCTTGATCATCCACAGTACAAAGGCAATGGGACAAGTGCTATGAGTAGACACCAAAAGTCAAATTCCTGCCGCAAGGGAAAGAAAAGAGGATCTCATCAAACACTAATCCCCGATTCGTTGCAAAACCATTCCATGAGGGAGTCGGCCAATGTGCACAAGGTAACAACATTCCAACTTGAGGAGCAGTTGTTAAAGACTATTACCTGTCTTCGGTTGCCATTCCAAACAGTGGAGAACCCTGTGTTCCAGAGGCTGCTTAACCTCGTAAATTCGGGAACTGGAGTACTGGAACTTCCGTCAGCAAAAACCCTGCGAAGGCGACTCCGGAATGCAGTTACAGTTTAACAGGAGTCGCAATTGCAAGATCTGCCTGAAGACGCTAAGGTGTCACTCGCGTTAGATTGTTGGACCAGTCCATTCCAGCAAGCATTTATGGCAATCACAGTCTATTTCATTAACAAAGATTGGAATTACCGAGAAATGCTCCTTGGCTTTGAACCATTGCACGGTCCCCACACAGGGAACAACCTCAGTGATGTTCTCCATCAGTTACTGAAGGAACGTGGACTCTTAGATCGCATCTTTAGCGTCACGACAGATAATGCGTCCAACAATAAGACGTTGATCCGCGCTTTGCAAGAAAAATTGATCTCTACTGGCGCGATTGGCTCCAGGGAATCCATTATCCGGGTTCCTTGTATGGCCCATATGATCCAGCTTTACCTAAAGCAGCTTTTAGGGCATATTAGAGCAGCGCCCAAGAACAAAGAAGTAAAGACCTTTTGGTCTGATACTCAAGTCATCGGTTTAAGAGACTCAGCAAGCCACGGAGATGTGGCTCATACCCTGGCAAAGGTGAGTCTGGAGCTTCCACGAATGACTATAAATATGGGCGGAGTACTGATCAAGGCAGATTCGGTCATTTGCGGTATTTGTCAATGCAAGCCCACAACGGCGAGATACATTTTTATGTCTTTAATCAGGCGGAACCCGGCTGTTTCCGTTGCACGATGTTCAAACACGCTGGAACTCCACTTTTTTGATGCTTCGCCGTGCGCGTCGACTAAGAAATATCATCGACAAATACTGCGACGATCATGAATACTCTCAGTTTAAGATTACTGACATTGAATGGCGGCAAATTGACTATCTAGTCCACTTGACCAAACCGTTCTTTCAATTCACCATGGCTCTAATAAAGACCAAAGACGTGACAATTCATAGCGTGTTCCTTGTGTATAGGAAACTTCTGGAGCATATCGAACGGTCAAATCGAAAGTTGAAGAAAAAGACAACGCCTTGGAAGAAGGACATGTATAGCGCGCTGCTCGTTGCGAGGCAGAAACTGAGAGAGTACTATGAGAAGATCTACCGTGACCACGGCTTTCTCTATGGCACGGGAGCTCTACTTGCTCCTCAATATAAACTATCTGCCTTTGATGACAGGGAGTATTCTATTTGCCACGAGGATACTTCGAAAAGGTACTGTGAATACTTGAGAGCGTGTTTCACGCAGTATCAACAACAGAATCCTGAGCTATTGTTTCGTACAGTGCATCGTTCGTCGGCACTGCATAGTTCAGAACTTGATCGGCTACTTGAACCAGTTAATGACTATATGCTCCTCGAAGGGGTAGAGCATGACGAGGTGATCGGTACCTCCGAGAAGGTATGGGCAACTGGCATACTACACTTAGACCACTAACTGATTTCTATAGCAAATGTTCCCGTGCCACCACGGCTCTATTGGAGAGAACATGAGCGTGAGTTCCCTGTGCTTTCTCGGCTGGCACGCGACTTGCTTTCGGTTCCGGCCACCGGCGCGGGGGTGGAAAGGCTTTCCAACAGTGCGCGAGACATCTGTCATTATCGTCGAGGGTCTCTTCATGAAGTGACTATTCAAGACTTGATGATGTATATGTGCTCAGAGAAATTTACACTGGAGGGAGAGCAGTTAGCTCGCCTGGAAAAGTCGACGGAGATTGAGGGTCAAGAGACAATTGAAGAGGATGAAGCATTGAAAGGAAATGAAGAGGATGCTGAGCCGATCAGTGACGAGGAAGAGGTCGAAGAAAGTGAAGACATCGAAGGCAATTTGGAAATCGAGGCCTCATACCAAGTTGAAAGTATACTGGTAGAGGCTGACCGGCCTTCAACGTACAACCAGACGAACCATGAGGATGGAGACGTAAATGAGGTGGAAGAGGGGGAAGTAATTGAAGTCGATGAAGCTGATTTGCTTCCACCTCCAATAATACAATTGGGCGATAGAAGTCAGAAGAGATCCTCTGGTAGGGTAACGATGCCCTCAAGTCGACTGCATGGGTACGAGCTATATTAGTCTTCATGCACCAATCTCATTCCCTTTGTCTATAATATTTGTTCCCCAATCTCCCCGCTATAGATTAAGATATCCAGACAGTGGCTAAACCATCACGTAATCTAAAATTACTGCATAATTTAGTGCAAAATGATATGTCAACTATTTTTGCTTTTTCGGGTTATACAGGGTACCCATTTGGGTCTTGGGTCGGGTTTCCCAGATGACAACCCGCCCACGGGTATGCTGACTAAGACCCAACCCAGCCCGTGGGTTGGGTTTTCGTGGGTGGTGTTGAAATATCCCGGTTGCTGGGATAATAATGAGGCTGGGATCACGTGCATACTCACATAATTTACTTCTCAGTCACTTGTATCTTAGAAAAAACATCCGACACAACACACAATCAACTCCCCTCAATGATATGACCATTGAAGCATCACTTAATAAACCAACAGGTGGGTTTGGGCGGTGGGCGGGTTTTGGCGAGGTCTAATCTGCACTTCCGATCTGGATCCTGTTGTAGCTCTTGGAGCTACGTCTTGTATAATAGCTTACGCTAGACCGTCCGCCGACCTGCTGCCGGATCAATTAGAAACCCTCTGAACCCGAGTAACTTAGCTAGTATTCTATAGGGGCATTTATAAGGACAAACTCATAGTAACCATAGATTCAAATAAATTGAAATAAATATTAATAAAAAGGCATATATTTACTGACTTTAGAATATCTTTTATATTTTCTATTAATCCCCTATAGCTCTTACTATTAAAGGTCAAAGTTACTTCTTTTTAGTGGTCTAGTAGGATATATAGGAAGTAGCTAAAATAGCGCTAACCAGCCTCAACCTAAACCCGGCCTATATCTAGGGCTAGGTCCAATAACTTAGGTCCTGCGGAAGTCGACCTATGACTACCTTTTCTACCAGAAATAGTGTAAATGTTGTTTAATTGTAAAGAAGAGTTTATTGAAAGAAAAAATAAAAGTCTAAGCTCTCCACGGGCCCGAAATTTAATTCTATTGGACTCAAGAAGATTAATTCCGCCGGACTCCGCCCCAATTTTTTTCGCCCATAGTTAAGAGGCTCACCCTAATTCCACTGGTGTCTGGTGGAGCCGTCCCTTTGTGCTAGATAGGGACTATATGACTCACTGTAAGTAAAGACAGACCCATTTGCATGCTTAATTTCAACCATTCAATCTGAGGCTGATTGATGAGGATCACATGTGAAGGAACTAGGCATGTAACTTTCAAGGTTCCCTATTGACAAATTATAACGTCAGGTGTTGACATCACTAACAGCTCAAGTCAAAATTTGGACGGTGAGCCTTTACTTCATTGACCGGAACTAAGCAAACGCCAGAATATGCCTGGACCGTTATCTAACAGAACCCATAATGCCGCCGTGCGAGTGTGGTAGGTGTGTATTGTATCGGAGGTGAACCATGTATCAACCGTTTGCCGCAACCAGATTAAAGACCTGATGTATGGTCCGTATTTGCCGTCGAATCAATCTTCGCAGTACGAAGTCAAGGTTTTGGTGAAGTCTATATCTTATCACACACGCTGTCACGTACGAGTAATCACTGACACACGGACAACGTTCCGGACACGAAATACGAAATCGACACACGAAAACAAGGTGGGTCAAAACTGTAGTATTGAGTGGGAATGAGAAGGGAAGAAAGGTCGCCGATTGGATCCGTGGGTTGAGCCCACGGTCCAGCTTCCTTCACCGCTTCCCCAATTCTAGTGAAAACGCCCTGTTTTGCCCGTGTTACCATTTTCGCTTCAACAACGCCTCGAGCACGCTGGAGCTTATCGAAACGGTACATGGATGTTCGGGAAATCCCATGCGAAAGACACTCAGAAAAAGTAACCATGATTTCATGATGACTCGTACACCAGGGACGTCGGCCGTTATAGCATTTTGCGTACTGTGTGAATATATATGGTGTGTGGTTTGATGTTACCAACTTAAGACGTTAGTCACTTGCCACACGAAGGATTCATACAGAGCTTCCATTACTGAATAGCTCAATGTCTTTGCCTGTTCAGACCACAGCTTGCTGTACACGCCCTCCTATCGTCCTGCGTGGAGGATATACCTACGAAGAAAAAGGAAAATATGTCGACTTCGGCGGCATGAAAACATGTAGGCTTGTATCAAATGGCTGTAGTATCTTTGTTGTAATCGGAGTACTAATTTTTGCCAGACGTTACCGGTAATCCTAACGCCTCTCGTGGGATCTTCCTCTGCTATGATGTTTTCGGGATATTTGTTCAGGCAATTAAGGGCGCTGACATTCTTGCGTCAGACTATCCTGATATGCCTGACGGTGTTGGTGATTTCAAGGTTTTCATGCCAGACTTTTGGGGGGACCACCCTCAAGACCTTGGGAACTTCCCGGCAAAGACCCCAAAGCAAAAAAAAGCAGTCGTTGATTTCCTCAATGGACCAGCGGATCCTAAAAAAATCCTACCTATGATTTCACCTCTGCTTGAGAGCTTCCAAGCAGAAAACTCCCATATTCAGAGTTGGTCAGTCGTTGGGTTCTGCTGGGGTGTCAAGATTGCTTCGTTGGTGACTACCAAAGGAACGAGGTTTAAGGCTGCTGCTGGTGCACATCCCACGTCGATTGTGGTTGAAGATGCAAAGCATATCACTGTTCCGATGTGCATTTTGCCTAGCCAAGATGAAGTTCCCAAAGTAAGCTTGATCTTGAGATGAGCCCTCATCCATGATGCGTGAACTGATTTTAAGGGGATATAAACTAGTTGATGGAAGAGTTTATCACCACTCTTCATCGGCATTCACCCAACAGCTATATGGAAACTTTTCCTGATCAAGTCCATGGCTGGATGACTTCTAGGTAAGATTTAACTTCAAAGAAAGCAAGGGAAGACAACTAACTAAGCAAAACTTGTAGGGCTGACTTCAATGATATCCATGCCTTTGAAGGAGATTTACGTGGTTACCGCATTTTCAGAACCTTTTTGGCCCAACACATATAACTCTTGAAAGGATCTGCGAAAGAAGCCCTTGCGATCTTTGATCTTATGCCGTCAAATCTTATTGGAAGCTATATTGATGTCATGAAATAAAAAGTTCAAGCTTTAAGGAACGTTTGTGGGACCTGAATATCGAATTTTCCGATATTTATATAGAGAGAACCGAAATAGTGGCGTATTAATCGAAATTCTATCCACGGCGAGTAGCTAGAGTCATAATTTCTCCGTCAATAATCCAAAAAGGTCAAAATAGAAGACTTGATAGATTGTGTAGGAAATTTTGACGAGAAGCAAGGCTTATTCAATACATATAGATGCTGAATACCTAAAGCGACATCTATTCTAGTGATCTCTGCCGTCGGCTGACGCCACGAGCGCTTCCATCACGTCGTCGAATGTTTCATAGCGACTGGCGTGGGGAAGTTCGGTGGCGAGAATGGCACCTTTTTCGGTCTATCCGACGCGGTGTAGCGAGGCCAGAATTTCCTCTTATAGCTCTTCAAGTTCCGATATGATAGCGAGTTTGGTGAGAAGGTCAGAGTCGAGGGCATCGGGGATGGAGGAGGCGCCGGCGGGGCTAGGGAATGCGCTTTCCAGTGGGAGTGACTAGAGTCTACTAGAGTGACTAGAGTCTACTAGAGTGCCTAGAGTCTACTAGAGTGCAAAAGTCTTGCCATTTTTTCTGTATAACAGAAAGTGGTTCATAGAGTTATCTTTTCTACGGAATTGCTCATAATAAGGATGAATCTGTAGGTTGTATCGTAGTCTCCTATTTATGCATCACGACTTGCCTTAGTCTCTCATTGGTTAAGTAGAGGGCGCATCAACGCAGCCGTAGTAATTAAGCCACAGGGACGAGCAGCCTGCCCCGACGTATGAATTCCATTGGTGCGCTGTCCCAGCAACGCTCAGCGTTTACATATTGTAGTGGGGAGAACTGGTCCCTACTACGGATTACCATACCCTTACGGGTCACATTCCGTCCCGTAAGGAAAAGGGTATATTAATACGAACTTAGCACTAGTTACAGAATGGACGCACTTACACATCTCTCACTTTTGACCTTTGTCGAGGGATCCACTGCTCGCCGAGGGCGACCTTCGGTCGTGGTGGGTTTTGCTGAGTATATCCGATTCGTGCGTCGTCAGAGCGTACAGCCAACGAGCGTTCCCCTCTTCAATATATATGTAAATCTTGGCCCACATTCTCAAAATCGTCAGAGGCGCCTAGGAAAATTCGTTCAACATAGACTTGTCAACACTTCACAAGAAAGGATGCTGTCAGTATTAGAGTGATGACCTATGAGGATAAGTGGTTATTATGGACTGGCTTCTTTATAAATTGTAGATAATATGCAGCTTTAAGAAGAGAAGTCTGAGGGTTATATTATAAGTTCGACGTAAGGTGCCCGCTTAGTAGTCGTGAGTAAGAAATACCCTTATGAGTGGCGGCAACTAGAAGCTACCGAATAGATAGTGGACTACGTAGTGTAAGACCAATATAGGCCCGTAAGGGATAACTTATAGTTTCTTACGCTAAATCTCCGTCTAAAATTAGCCGCTACTATATAACAATAATTATAAGTTTTAAGCGAAATAAAGAACCTTCCGTATTCGATAAGATTTACCTATACTATAATGGCGTATACATAATATCAGTTACGTTAATGGGATGCTACCATTTAGTTAGCGGGTAGGAAATTTGGAACGCCACGTAAAATTTGCGTTCTTAGAGACTTGCTGATTACGATATATGATTCCAGATCGGTCGGCGGGCTCATGAAATCGGGCGTTGAAATTTTCACTGGGGCTCAGACTCACCAAGACGGTCTGCAAGTCCACAACGATGATAGATTAAGACCGAGACGACTCGCAGAATACAGCGTAATAGAGAAAATGTAGCCTCATGCGTTTTTATTTTATGCTTTAGAATTATTCTATGATGATTTAATCCAGAATTCAGGATCATTCGCGGTCCTTCCCTATACGCATAACATTATAACGTTTTCATCAACTTACATAACTTGCGCATACTGGCCGAGACCGGTCCACGTAGGGGACCATAGAGCCCCTCCTTGGGATTAGACAGCTTCTCAGTCTCATCGCAGTCCAATAAAATAGCTAATGTTCGCTTAACCAGTTTCCGACCAGACTAGAACGGACCAGTTTATTATATTACCAGCAATCCTCAATAATTCATGACTATATAGGTTTAAGCACCCCGAAAAGTAGTATAGCATCCTGACTTTGGCCCTAGTATATATAGTAAAACGATATCTATCCCTCAAAGAAAAAATCATTATACATGGAAATAGTTCGCGATGCACCGTTTAGACAGCTTGTCCGTTTTATTTTTCGTTATAAGTTTTTTCTATATCCAGAAGAGCACCCTGGTTTTGAATGCCCCCATACTGCATACAACGCAAGTAAATTCAAGGGAGCCTTAGCTGATGCTAATTGCTAGCTCAATAGAGAGAGCAGGCTTAAAAGTAGAGCTGAGCCGTTTTTAAGTAATGCTGCAGCGGCGATTAATGTGGCAGGCTTTCAGGGACAGGACAAAGACGATCTGGCCCTTAATTATCAGGATACAACATTAAGTCTAATCCAGTATCAAACACTCGCATTCACAGCGGAAAGGCTAGAAGAAGAAGAAAAACTAGCCCTAAATAAGACTCTAAGTATTGTGCTGCCCCTAGCGAAAAATTCCGACGGGACTATTTTGGTTAATCAGTATACGTCTAATAATACCGAAAATCCTCAAAATTGGTCTTAGAAAAAGAAAGCCTTTATTGCGTTTCACATTAAGTAAGTTTCTCCATCCCTTATATTCTGTGGCAAGATTGCAGATCAGAGCTAAATAGCCCGCACCCAGTTTATATAATTTTGTCGTTTATTGCGGTTCCGCTATCTACGTTTCCAATAAGATATAAGTATGTGTTTGGAAGGCTTGAAAATTCGCCTCACCTGACTAACTAGAAAATGATGTCCGCATTAGACTAACTCATTACCTTGAAAGGCAAATAATAGAGCGCTTCGGGGTTAGTGAATTCAACGCATCGTTAGGACTAGCACTTTATATTATCGGATGTTAGTGTGTCTCCTTCCGGATTCTCATAACTTACTAATGTAGTATAAGATGGTCTCGGTCCTTTACTATAGGCTCCGATAAGCGAAATTCCAACTTTCGGTCGGAATATACCCTACATGGCCACATTTGCCATCTATCTAATCTCTGCGTGCTAACAGTACTTACGCATAATCTTCCTAGTCTCTTGGTCTTGCGTTTTCTATAAGGATTCTTTAGTAGTCCCTATCTTACAAATGGCGGAGCGACCAAATAAGATATAGATTATCTATACTCTCCTGATTTTCACTCAACTTTAGTCCAGCTAACCCAAACTTAGTACTCGCTTCTTTACTTACCTTATTCATTGGCTTGCTAGGTTTCAGCAATGTTCGCTGCTCCTGCATTAGGGCCCATGTTGTCGGGTTTTGCTGTTATCGCAGAAGAGTCAGTTATAAATCTTTACTCGGCTTTAAGAGTCAAGAGAGGTATCTGACGGCTCCACAGCTAGCGGTGGTCTTTATAGGAAGTACTTTGGATAGCGAGCCCCATTTTCATTCTTTGGTATTTCTTTCTGCCCGAAACATCAGCAGACAATATTCTTCTACGTCGTGCTACGCGACTGCGAAAGGCTCTCGATAAGCAGAACATCAGATCGCAGACTAAGATCACGCGCGGAGACCTAAGCTTTGGGAATATCGCCTAGGATGCTGTCATCAAGCCATATAAAATTATGATCAAAGACCCCGCCGTCATATTCACCAACGTATACACCGCGCTTATATACCGTATATACTACCCCTTCTTTGAGGTATTTCCATTGGTATATAGCCCACTATATGGTTTCTGTCACGAAACTGACAAGGAGTATCTGGAAGTTCTCTCATGTGACCTCAGCTGACCTTGCCGAGAGAGTGCGGGGTATAAAGCCCATCTCTCTCTTAGTACCTACGATTCCTTCAAGAATCAGTTTTGATACAAATCTGATTACTGCTTTTTTACAACCCATCTATTCTCCCTCTATCTTATCCATAAACCCTAACAATTCTGATTCTTCTTTGATATGATAGAGAAGAAAAGATGGTGCGTACTACTCGCAGTAACCCACAACCTTCGGTGGACCCGGTGGAGCTAGCGCCGACCGTGGATCCAACCCCGATCGACTCCACCACGGAACCACCTCGAGACGATGACGATTCGGACCTCGAACCGCTCGCTTCCATAGGCGAATCCCTGAGTGACCCCACAATTAGAGAACTTAGGGAGAAAGAGAAGAACATGCTCATGACCGCCCGTCTCCTTAAGCGAATTGAAGAGCTAGAGAAACAAGTCCAAAAACATACTTCGAAACGCCCCCGAGAAGGAACCGATTCGGACTCGGACCGAAGTGGACACGTCCATAAAAAGGATCTGAAGCTACCGAACTTGAAAAAACCTTTTACTCTTCACTTCAGCCTACAACAGCAGCAGGAATGGTTCAAAAATCACGAACAGATATTCCGTGCTGCCCCACGGCAATTCAAGACCGAAGATGCCCAGATTATCGCTGCTTCTTTCAATATGGACGAAGACTGTCGACAACGGTGGTTTACACACATCGAAGAACTTGATGAGGATGAAGCCCGATACGCTACCCATACGTGGACGTATTTCAAGGAATGGACAGATGAGCTTATTGCCAATATGTCCACTGGCATTATCGATTATCAAGATCGATTCGAAGAAGCAAAGCAGCGCCCAACCCAGACACCTATCGAATTCCACCAGTATCTACTAAGTTTAGAACGCTTCTTCGAGAAGCCTTCCGAGCAGCGTCGTGCTCAGATCTACTACTCAAAGCTTCAACGAAACCTCAAAGATGCAATCATTATTGCCCGGGCAGGCCAGTTGCCTGAAACCCTTAAGGATATGGTTGCAGAAGCGAATCGCCACTGGACCAT